GAGAAGGCACAACTCAATGGAAAAAACAATAATGCTAGGAAAGGTGTAAGAAAGTAGAAAGAGAGGAAAGCCACATGCTAGATGGATGGACTCTATTAAGGAGGTCACAGGTATGACTTTGTAGGAACTAAGAAGAACCATGGGGGTCAGGAAGTCTCATCCACAGGGTCGCCATGGGCCAAGATTGACTTGAGGGCTGTTAACAACAACAACAGCAATCCTAAGTCAGCTTGACAGACATGGTTGAACAGACAGAGATTCAAAATCAGAGTTTGGAGAGCTAAATCCTGGGAATGGTTATGGAAAATCCATCAGTTTCAATGAAATTAGTCTTCAGGAGAGAGATACATAATCCCCATAACTTGTCTCTTCACAGCCTGTTGTTTCAGCCATTTCCCCTCTCTTCTCAGCTTATTCTTGCTATCAGAGCTAGGAAAGGATTAAAATCAATGGAGCAGTAAGTTAGCTGTGGAGAGGAAAATCATGGCAGATAGATGAGACAATCTTGTGTCAATCACCAATCACACTCCTTTTATTATTAAAATAAAATGCACATACATTTAGTATATGAATATTGAAGAGTTGTGAATGCTGGCCTGGATCTTTGTTGTTTGTTCCTGTATAGTGTAAGGGAATTGTTTTATAATTCTTTAAAAAAGTAAATGGAAGGTTTGAAAATGAAAACTGGTCTGGTTGAATATCTAGAAGATCTGTACCACCTACCCACCTCTGCTCTGTTGGCTTGCTAATCAAAATCCAACCATCCACTTCAAAATATTCTGCACTTTTTGGTGAAAAGAAGCGAGTCACTGAAAAGGTACATACAATCTTTGAGGCTCCCAGCAGCTTGGCTGGAGCTGGAAGTCTCAGAGTTGATAGGGTCTGGGGTGGGGGGGGGGGTCTAGATTCCAAAACGTATTTTGAGCATGGATATATTGCTAGGAAGAAGAGAGTATTAAAGTTGAAGAGCTGGAAAGGGACAAGTGAAGAACATGGGTCAGGTCTGGATGCTTTTGTCTTAAATCCGAGGCTTGGTTTTGTTTTACTCTCTCAAAAGGCATGCGTAGCTTGATAGTCTCCAATGCTTAAATAGAAACATCTTCCAGTACTTTTTGTTTTGGTCTCCATGCACTTGGGCTTCCATGCATCTAAGCAATGGCTAGTTGTACTCACAGATTTTAACACAAAGATAGGCA